GTCATTTTCCACTTCAGGAATCCTTCTTGGCTTTTGGGGGTGTGTGTATGTGTGAGGGGGGAGGGTGGGGGGTAGAAAGGCCTGTTTTTTTTCAGGGTGGGGTTGTTTTGTTTTGATTTTTTTGGTCCTTAAATGTTTTTGTGCAAACTTCGTGGAGAGTGCTCTTCTCCTCAGCACCAAGCCTGGACTAATGGATTACCACCTGCTTGGATTAACTTTAGCTTTTTTCTTCGGTGACACAAAGGTCCTAGCCGGTTATCCTATTTGGTGGTAAGACTTCTTTTTTCCTCATCTCAAACTTTTTGGCAACCTACTCCTTTTCCTCCACTTCAGTGTTTGCATTCTCTCTTCATCTTGATTCATGTTTCTCATCATCTCACTTTTTCAGAATTTGGGCAAAGTTCCTACATGCTTGCCTTGCTTTTTTTTTTTCTTTTTCATTTTGGAAGGGCGATACTTAATAGATTTTTCCTTTTGCTTGAGAAGCATTGTGCCTGCCTCAGTCATTCATGGCATCAGAATAATATGTTGGGGTGTAATTTTTAAGCAGCAGGCATTTCAAAGGTGATTAACTAGAGGGATAGAAACATTAAAGTACCATCAAGGTTCACTGTTATTAGGTATTTGCCTGCAGATCACATTTGTATACTAACAATGCTATATAAAATGACTCCTCTTTCCCTTTAAATTTATTTGCTTAATAATGCCCATCTGCAGAAAAAAATATCAAGAAAACAATCAAGATCTAAGTTTTAACTTCGACAGTTGTTTGGAATGACAACAATTTGTCATTTTAATTTCCTGCTTGTTTCATAAAAAGCTTGACTCCATTCAAGCAAACCAAGAAGATAAAAGCTAGAAAGTATTTTGCCAAAGATTCATTTCTCTGTATTGGACAATCTGAGGACAAGGGGTAAGGACTGGGATTTTTTTCAACAAAACCAAATTTCAGGTTATTTGAAATAATTTAGCATTTAATAATCTAGTGTCAATTTTTCTTGTTGCTTAATTAAATTTTCTCCTTATGCTAAAATGTGTTAAACACTTGGATAAGATGCATCACCAGCTCCAATATGGAGTTAACCTAAATATGGCCCTCCACCACCACTTTCCAAAATCCCCTTTTATGGCAGTCATTCCTTAATTCCTTTTTAAATGCAACCAAATTAGGCTATGGGAATAAAAAAGGTTCTATATTTTGAAAAATAGCCCTTATTGTAAAACTCCAGTTGCCTATTATAAATAATAAAGAATGAATATTCAGCACATCTAGCAATGTTCTTTACCTTGTTTTGTCTGATTATATGAAAATGATTCAGAAAATTAAATCACAGCAACAACAAAAATACTGTATTTTCCTTGCCAAATGGATATGACTCATATATGCAAAGCACAGCCAGAATATATCTTCAGGGTCAAAAAAGGTTACCCTGTCAGAATTTCAATTAATCAGATCTCTTTTAGCCCCAGGTTTGATAAAACTAACTTTCTATAAAAGAAGCTGTAAACTATTAAGAATCGAATGCTATGTTACAAATACTATCAAAAAAAATTGATTCAGAGAATTTAGTTAATTTAGTAAACACAGAGACCAGTTGTGTTGCTTGATTAAGGCTAAGGAATTTCAAGTCATAAAGCGAAATCTTGGTATTTTACTAAAATTTTGTCCTTCTAATCATCCTTTTTAATACACGGAGAAGTAAGAAATCCATTTTCTTTTAGTCTCCTTAATTTTTCCCCTCCCCTAAAATCTATCCTTAGAAATACCGGTGGATATCTTCTGTCTCAAAGAAAAAGGATTAAGTCCCTGGATTTTAAAATACAGACATACATAATTCAACAACAGTACGCACCTAAGCATACTTTAGGAGAATGAAAATTGCCTATAGAGGATTTGTAAAGAGTCATAGCTACTGAGCTGTGCTTTCAGCTTGTATAATTGTATTTTCTAGTACCGTATAGAGCAAATACTGTAATAATTAGATTGAAAAAGAAGTCTCAGAAGTGGGCAAACCAAAGCATAATTGATAATGAGCTGTAAGTCATTATATGTGTTCTGTAGCAATCTTCACACTCTATTTTGGTGCATGTTTCTATCTCCTAGTCATTCAGGTCCCTTCAGATTCAACTGATTATTTTCAGTGGATGTGAAAGTTCATGTTCCTTCATCTTGCTTTATTCAGCAGAATTTAAGTAAACTGGGAGAGATCTGAATTTATTTGAATCTCTTGCAAATGCTCAAACCCTCTTCAGGATAATTCCAACCTAAGAAGACAGTCAGTAAATAATGGTTTAACAAACAATTAGTAAAAACTAATAGATTAATAACCATGCATCAATTTCATATGAATTAAGTCCAAATGCATACAAATATTAATGTATTGGTGTTATCACTTTTATCGTAGCATGGGGACAGAAGCTGTCAGTCAGAAAATATGGGGCAGCAGTCAACTTTTAGTTATAAAAAAATGGGAAAGTCATAATTTACTTCTGGATTACAAAATAACTGCATTTCAAAAAGAAAATCCAATTCTCCAAACTAAACAGTCTGTCCAGAGAATCCAGCTTTGACCACTTAGCCTTATCTTGACTTATTGTCTTAAATTATCCAATTTGTTTGAGCTACAGAACTGAAATTCAAGGTACAGAAGACAACGTTCAAGCTATTTAGGGACCTGGTGCTGGGAACCAATAATGGAACGGCAGTATATTGAAAAGTGTGAAAAGGGAAGTTGCATAGTTTCAAATTGCCTGGAATTTGGGGGGATGAGGCAAAGAGGAGCAGGGATGGGTGGTAATGTATACACAAGGGAAGTGCAAAGGCTGGCAGAAAGCTTTGCTACATAAAGAAGAGAGCAAGCAAGACTGGTGGCTCTAGCTTTAGTTTCACTAAGATTTGCCACCTTGATATATTTGTGCTGTAAGGAACTGTGTGTCCCACTACCATTTTATCTATGATTTGATTTGGAATAATTTCAGCTAAAGCATCTAAGGGGTTAACTGATGCATATGAAATCATCCTGTTTTTCATTTAAATGATCTGATTCTGAGAGTAGACCAGCCTTAGATCTGGATTATCTGCTTTCTCTGACCTGAGCTGATTGTTTGTCCTAGGGCATAAAAGTAACATATTGCAAGAGCCGAGAGCTACTAAGCCAAAACTGAGCAAATCAACAGAGCTTTGTGTAACAGCTGGGAAAGAGCAACCAGAGTAGCAAGTTCAGTGTTAGCTAAAACTGAGTTTTTGTGTCAAGAACAGGCCTCCTTGCAAGATACTGGCAATATTTAAAATACTATCATTCAATTTTAAGTATCTTACGTTGTTTCATTCTGCCCCCACCCCCTTCCAAGCCTGAGTCCTGAATAAATTTGACGGGTAGAACAGAATGGCAGGCTTAGGTGTTTTTCTTACCTAATTTGCAAATTTCTTTCCAGGAAGTCTAAGAAAGGAAGTTTGTACTTGTGCAAGTGTGTTGTGGAACAAAAACTCACCAAAGCGTGTGTTTGGAGTATTTTCATATATAGCATAGTAATATTGTACCACTATTAAATTTAGCCAAACAGAGAGCACAAATAAAACCATTTTTATAAATGGTATAAAACCAGCCACAACTGTGACTCTCAAACAAGAGAATATGTACCAGTATTTTTCTCTAGCGCTCTGCAGCCCCATCTCCAGTTGTCATGAGATCTGTGTCTGATGTTATATTGCCACATATTTGAAGAAGTGGGTAACTGGAAAAGGCTGACCTGGGCTGTACTTGGCTCAAACAGATATTAGAAATGGCAGTTTTTTCTGGGCCTGTGGTAAGACAACGGCCAGCACAGAAATCAATTTTTAAGCCCAAGACTAAAGGTGCTTCCATATGCAAGACCTAAATTATTTCCCACAAATTAAGGTACAAGGAAAAGCTGTATTGGCTTAGATCTCTATATTTGTCCCCACATTACTAACATTTGCTTTTGGGGAAAAGTTAGTTCCCCAATACGACCTTCACTCTGTCTTATGATAGGACCACTCTTGGAAATCTAAGACATTGGCCTCTTCCTGATCTTTAAAACATGATCCCTTGTATATGCTTTGCTTAAAGAAGTTGAAAGAGAGAGAGAGAGGTTGCTCTGGTTGAATTCAGATGCTTAGATACTCCAAAGCTTCTCTTCCCTGGTTTTCTACAGAATGATCTACCTTGAAAAGGTCTTTGCATTGTTTGTTTTTTGAACAAGCAAGCTGATACCTTATGGAAATCAAATTGTATAAAACAGGAAAATAGGGAGAGAAGCTTGATCATGAGGACAGTTAGGCTCTGGCATTGTTATTTGATTAAAAAGGGCCCAAGGAATAGGAAAAGTCAAGATTTAGAACTGCATTAAACACAATGACTTTTTTTAAAAGGAGAAGATCTTCTGTGATTTTTTTTTCTTCGTAAACCATGCTTTGGAATTATGCATATATGCTTCTTTCACTGAATTTTTTACACTTTGAAATGCCCCTGAGTATGTAACAATATGTGGACAAACAATAAAACAGAAGCTGCAATAATCTTTACAACTTGAACTCCATAGGGCTGCTTTCTTTTTAGAGCTGTGATAGACCTGGAGATGGATTTGCCTCTTCTTTATGTACAAAGTGATGTAGTCCAGGACTAATACAACCAGGGTTGGATGGAGGAGGAATAACAGAATGCCCAGGACCTACCTACATAATCCTACTGAACATTCCCCCAGTTTTGTTTATACTTCAATACTTGCTGTTCCTTAGAAAGCATCCTTGAAACCAACGAGGTATGGTCACCCAAAACACAAGAATGCCACAAGAGTTAGGGAGGGGTTGGGGAACAATTTTTTAACTTCATTGGCATCCTCAGGAAAAAAAAATGGATTGCAATAAGAACACCCCATCCTCTTCCTGGTGATAGGAGAAAGTTCAGAGTTTGGATTTACTCATTGTGCTAAGCCATCACAAGAAGCCATAATGTAGTTGTTTGGTTTGGCCTTAGCAAGTTATATGAACCCTACCATACAAATGCTTTGTTAGCCACTGTTTCTGAACTCCAGTACCTACATCCTCCCACTGGAGCTCTACTAAAATCAGACTCTGCCTGCCCATCAAAAGTGACACAATGCCTTATTGGTGGTTGAGAAGGCAACAATACTTTAGCAGCTGAATTTCATCTTTAACATTTTGCCTGCTGGATTCAGATATTATTAATTGACAACTAATGTTGCCAAAAGCCCATTGGCAGGCTGGCTGCAAGCCAATGGGTAAACAG